GAAACAAGGTAGATCCAGGGAACTACAGGCCGGTCAGTCTCACCTCAGTGCCAGGCAAGAGCATGGAGCAGATACTCCTTGAAACTATGCTAAGGCACATGGAGAATAAGAAGGTGACTTGTGACAGTTAACATGGCTTCACCAAAGGAAAATCATGCCTGACCACTTTGGTGTCCTTCTATGATGGAGCTACAGCATTGGTGGTTAAGGGAAGAGTAACTGATGTCATCTACCTGAATTTGTGCAAGGTGTTTGACACTGTTCCACACTACATCCTTGTCTCTAAGTTGGAGAGGCATGGACTAGATGGATGGACAACTCAGGGGATAAAGAATTGGCTGTACGGTCACACTCAAAGAGTTGTGGTCAATGGTTTAATGTCCAAGTGGAGACTGGTGATGAGTGACGCCCCTCAGGGCTTGGTATTGAGACTGGCGCTGTTTAACAACATGGACAGTGAGACTGAGTGCACCATCACCAAGTCTGCTGACAACGCCAAACTGTGTGGTTCAGTCAACATGCTGGAGGGAAGGGATGCCATCCAGAGGGACTCTGACAGGCTTGAGAGGTGGGCCTGTACAAGGCCTTATGAAGTTCATCGAGACCAGGTGTAAGGTCCTGCACCCGGGTTGGCGAAATCCCAAGCAAAAATACAGGCTGGGTAGAGAATGGATCAAGAGTAGCCCTAAGGAGAAGGACTTAGGGGTCCTTGTGGATGAGAAGCTCAACATGAACCGGTAAAGTGAGCTTGCAGCCCAGAAGGCTGACGATGTCCTGGGCTGTGTCAAGAGAAGCGTGGCCAGTAGGTCAAGGGAGGTGATTCTGCCCCTCTACTCCACTCTCGAGAGAACCCATCTGGAGTACTGCATTCAGTTCTGGGGGCCCCAACACAAGAAAGACATGGACCTACTGGAGCAAGTCCAGAGGAGGGCCACAAGGATGATCCGAGGGCTGGAGCACCTCTCCTATGAGGAGAAGCTGAGGGAGTTGGGGCTGTTCAGCCTGGAAAAGAGAAGGCTCCTGGGAGACCTTATAGCGGCCTTCCAGTACCTGAAGAGGCCTACAGGAAGGCTGGGGAGGGACTTTTTACAAGGCCAGGTAGTGATAGAACAAGGAGTAATGGCTATAAACTGGAAGAGGGAAGATTTAGATTAGATATTAGGAGGAAATTCTTTACTATGAGGGTGGTCAGATACTGGAACAGGTTGCCCAGAGAAGTTCTGGATGCCCCCCTCCCTAGAAGTGTTCAAGGCCAGGTTGGATGAGGTTTTGAGCAGCCTGGTCTACTGGAAGGTGTCCCTGCTCATGTCAGGGGGGTTGGAACTAGATGATCGTTAAGGTCCTTCCAACCCAGACCATTCTATGATACTATGAACATGCTCACTCCTATTCCAGTAGCTAGGAACTGAGAAAGTATTGAGTCTCCAAAAGGAAAATTACTATATTGGGTGACTTTCAAATATATGTATTCTCAGTTTCCTATTTTTTTCTCCAATGATACATAGCTATAAAACTACACATTACTTTCAAACCATGTCACCCTTTCTTGTTTGAAGTTTGGTGAGAAATTTGATGTATTTGAAATAGCTGACATAGATGTCTAACTCTCTATAGGACTAGGATTAATTAAAAAAAAAAAAAAGGGTAATGGATCATTTAGAAGATTCTACTATGACTGGAACTGAATCAGTTAGCTGGAGCAGAAAATCTTACGTACAGGGATAAGTTTGGCAAGATTATTATATAATTACTGCATTAAAAATAAGTAAAGAACCTGGAAGCTACAAGTGGTCATTTAATCATTGCAATGTATTTGTTTTTCAAGTACATCACTCCTTTACTCCCAGATTGCCAAAGGCCCTGCCTTACACAAATCTCAAACAGTTCTGCTGTGCTACATCAGTGAAGCATCGAGTGCCAGCTAGTGTTTGAGTTGAAAGACAGGGCTGATGGATGTCTAGGAGTACTCTTGAAAAGTACATGAACGCTGGTATGAGCAGCTGAAACAATGTAGGGGAAAGAGATGCTGCTAAACGCAGTAGATGGGAATCAGTCAGAGGACACAATGAAAGATCTCGTTGCAGGGGAGTTGGACTAGATGACCTTTAAAAGACCCTTCCAACCTAAATTATTCTGATTCTATGTATAAATAACTTATCCTGTAGTTGTGGAGAATTAAGCCACGTATTAGGTTGCATCCATTCCATTACAGGTAGGAAAAACTCAGGAGAAACACATTTTTGCATACTAATTGGAATGTTTAATTCCTAAGAACTGACACATTGATCATGGAGTCTGACTCCATCATCACACAGGCTTTGTGACAGTGAGAGATAACACTGACCATCTCCAATGGGTTAGAGCCTTAAGAGCTTGCATTATTTGTAAGGACTGAAACTTGCAAGTATTTCTGTGTCTGAGAGAAGTGACAGCACAATGTATCATTTTGACAAAGATAAGGTGAATGCAAAAGTCTATCGATAAAGTTGCTACCAGTAATAGGGACGAAACTGACATAGGAAGCTCTCCCCCATTTCTTTTCTTCCTGTGAAGAGCCAATTTAAATCTATTTAAAACAACTGGTTTTAAAAATATCAGCTAGGTTTTGATTCCTTTTTTTAACTTCCCATCCTACATGTATTTAGAGCACATTAATATGTAGTAAACCAGTAGACTCAGTGACTCAATTTGCATTCAGCTAGTGAAACACTTTGATTGGAAAGAATTTGCCATAAGATAAAATCGAGGGGACAGTGAAACCAACGCTACAGGGAGTCAATTGAGTGTCTGTACAATTTGATAGAAAGTTAACTTAGAAAGAAAGGGCAAGGAGCAAAGATAATCATAATAATTCAAAGTAAATACTAGCAGGGAAATGCAGACAGGCACATAGTAACGCACAGACAACTTCATTGTGGGTTTATATTGTGATCTCTCTACTGCCCACACAGTAATCCCAATACAGATTATTTGTACAAAAATGAGACTACACTGCATGAGATATGGGCATGAAAATTGCCAATAAAATACACTCATTGTTTATCACATTCTAAGCTTGCCCAAAGGTCTCTGCTGCTCTGGCTGTGAAAAGATTCAGGACTTCAAACATCACACATTTTTAAAGTCTAGAAAAGCAGTAGTTTTTTTCCCCATACAAAATGAACAGTCTTTTCACATGCACACAGAGCATGGATAAAAGAATGAAAGAACTGCCTTCAACATTGAACTTTGAGATAGATAGACTGACAGACAGAAATAAACACAGAAACACACACACACAGTTGATATATATGGTCTCATATCTTTACTACTGTTTCCTGTCATGTATGAAAGAAGCAAGGATTCTTTATTGTTGTGGGTTTTTACCATTTTAAAACACTCCTCAACCAGTAAGACAGAAAATTTTCTATGAAGCATAGAGCATTTAGTGTACAGTAACCAAATAGGCAGAGTGATAGACATGTAGAATTTGAATAGCTGAATTAATGGAAGAAACAAAGAAGAAATTACACTATTAGATTGTTCATATTTGGTGAGACACTGGAACAGGTTCCCAGAGAAGTTGTGGATGCCCCCTCCCTGGAAGTTTTCAAGCCAGTTTGGATGAGGCTCTGAGCAACCTGGTCTAGTGGAAGGTGTCCCTGCTTTTGGCAGGGGGGTTGGAACTAGATGATCTCTAAGGTCCCTTCCAACCCAAACCATTCTATGATTCTATCATATACTTTCTGTGGGGTTTTGTAATATGTACTTTGTGTTTGTGGCAATTACAATACCTTTTAAACAACTTTTTGTGAGTCTGTGTGAGCACATTCATCTTCCAGGATAATGCCTTTATTGTATGAAGGTAGAACAGATCTGTGCAAACTTTTGAAGGAATAAGAGTGAAGTTGATCCTGGAATACATCTTCTCTTTCCACAGCATAAGAACCCCTTTCTTTTGTGAACTGAATGTTAATAGAAGTGCTAGCAAACAAAACATTAAAATAATCTTCTCAATTGAGAAGGTTATAATTGTTCCCCATATTGTCATATGCAGTGATCTTTGAAGCTACTGACTGGAGTCTGACCACCTGTGCACTGCCAATACCAAGCAAGCCATCTCTATTTAGTCTAGCTGCCATTAGCCACAACATAACTAACTGCATTTAAACACCTAAGAACCAGAAATTAGCTACCACACACACCATGCCTCCTCTCAGAACATCAACCTTGCAGCACTATCAGCAAGCAGCCTGAGTCAACAACGGGAACTGAGTCTTCTACTTGCAGGAAGCAGGCAAGTAGGATGGTGCTTAAGCCATGGGCCACCTTTTAGAAATAAATGGTGAGACTTTCATGATGTGACACAGAAGACTGTAAGAAATTGAGTCAATTAAAAAAAATAAACACCGTGAAGTTTTAGAGCTAATTGCCTCTATGCTTTTAGAGAAAACATGGAAAAACTAGGAATTGCTTCAGGTATGGAGTAGCTATGCAGTTTCTGTCAAATACTACCACAATGAAGGCTGAGGACTCAGTATATTCCAAAGGATCTGAATCACAGATAAACTATAATGCAATTGATGCTCTCTCTGTGACAAACATGGGAAACAGAATTCTACTACTGAATCAGAAATGCATGTCTCCTAAGATACAGAATGAAAGCCCAACTGCTTTCCCTTAAGAGCCAAATAATTTTAATAATTCAAATTAAATTTTAACCAGAAGGAAGATAACTGATGCATAAAAAGCAAGAACAGCAAAACAATATGAACAAGCCAAATGACACTCTGTTTTCCTCAAAATGGTTATGTAATTTCATATGAAATATTTTTTGTAAATAATTATCAGAGCATTTAAAAAGAGTTTGTACCCAAGAAGGGTTTGGTAGAGATGTCATGCTGGAACTGACATGTTAAAAACGTTCTCAAGACCCTTTAGTTGAACTTATCCAAGATGTTGGGCCTAAAAAAAAATAACAAATTAGACCCAGACAAATACACACATATTTTTTGTTTTACCTTGCTGCGTTGTGATCCTGTCACCTTAAGGAAGGGCAAGGACAAGAAGCGAAATAGTAGTAAGAAAAATAAGTCCAAATTTTTTTTCTGTAGGTGACTGACCAAATACATACACAAAATTGTCTTTTGAGAAAGATTAACACATTATTTGAACATAAGTTTCATAGCTACAGAAAAAATAATAATGAGAAACAAGTTAAAAGGATCATCTCTCAAAAGATAAAGTTGAATGCTGAACAAGGAACCCATTACAATTTAGATAAAGAGCTCTAATAAATCCTTTACTGATAAATTTGTTCATTCACCTCAATGACTTCCTATTTATAAATTTTCACATTTATAAGCACAAGACTTTTGATATCTAACAAACATGCATAGGTTAACTGAAAAAAGCTTATAGAAATAAACATTCTTTTTTTAGTCAATTATATGTCATACATTGCATTTCCAGGAAAAACAAAAACAAAAACAAAAGAACTGAAATTTGCATTCATACTTAGATATTTACAAAGAAACAGAAATTAATCTATTGGGTATATTCGTTGTAACTCAACTGGACCAGAACTTCTGAGTGATTGAAAATAATTTGGTATAGCTCTTCTTTCTGATTTCCGTATACTGCCAAATTGAGAACACATACTTAAATAATTAAGTGCTATCTCATGCAGCATCATGTAGAAAACATACAGAAAATCTGATGTGTACAAAGCAATGAGAGTAAAAGTAAACACACCCCAAACCACACCTCAAAAATCAAAATAACACAGGTAGTTTTATATTAAATCAATCAGTATAGTTAGAAATATTTTAAAGAAATAATAAAAGTATGTATTTAATGTTTCTGTGTTTTAGTAAAGATATTAAATATAAGTAGATTTGAAAGATATGACAGCTTTTAATGTCAGAATTAAAATATGCTAGAATATATTAAAATATTAACAAGCTAATTCCCTCAGTACCCCTCAGAACAGACAAATTTCTTGTAAACTCAATTTTATCAATGGAATAAGAGAGACAGATTCCAGAGCAGTAATCTACTCATGTAAGCGTGTTACCTTACACAGTGATGATTGCTAAAAACTCAACATTAAACAATAATTACAGATTTCCTATTCTCAACATAAGAAAAAGCTTGTCAGTATTGATTAATAAAAGCTCACCTTTTACTAAGAAGCGCTAACATATGAGTGAACATAAAAATACTGTATAAATTCCTGGTACTGAATGTAAATGACTACTGCAAAAAGCAGTATTTCAGTATTTTAACCATCCAAACTAAAGGTAGAACACAATACTCTACAAGATACAGCCTGTTATCACATTAAGTTAGTACTCATTATATTTCTCATCAACAGTTAAAAAGTTAAAGTCAAACAGATAAACATGTAAGATCCATTAAATTACTCTCTATAAAATCCTATATTATGTGATATTATGTATGTTCTTGTTTTACTACTATGAATCTGGTGACTCATATCTGCCAATCCAGCTTTTGACATGCAGTTCACTGGCTTATTAAGCTGCAGCAAGCCATGAACCAAGAAACATAAACATCAGTTGAAAGCTATGAAATAATGTGTAACATGACAAGGAAAAAAAACCCAAACCAAACCAAACAAAACAACAACAACAAAAAAAAAAAAACAAAAAAAAAAAACCCAAACAAACAAAAAAAAAACCCCAGAAGTATAATCTTACTTCAAAACTCTTCACTTCTTCCTCACCATCATCATCTTCTTCATCATGGCAGCTCTGATACCATGTAGAAAGAAAACATTTGCCGGTGAGTGGAGGGCAGGGGTGGGGGCCTAAGCCTTCCCTCATTTTACACATAATTTCTCTTTATATTCCTCATTAATTTTATTAAAACAGAAAAGATGTGAAAGATAACAAAGCAAGTTACCTTTGCCATAATGTCAGCATAAGCCATATACAGGAAATCTTCTTCCAATTTGCTGGTTAATAAGGGAGAAGAAATGGAAAATGAGGAAGATTAGAGCCGTTACAGTAGAATTGGAGCACCAAAATATTTTTAAGCACCTTAAAAATCTTTTTAAAGGATTTCCACGTTCATAATTCATTTTAAAGGTCTTTTTGGGAAATGAGGACTTGATTGACTAATACAAACTGATAAGTAAAGCCAGCTACAAACACAGTGCTCTACAAATTCATAAACACCTTTCAATGAAGAGAATATAGTTAATTTTTCAATTATACCTAGAATATACTTATATTTCACATTCAGAATATAACTGTTGATAGGGAACACAGAAGAGATAGGTGTACTAAGTCCTGAACACAGCATCCATAACTGTGAAAAAGTGTATTGGGGCATCTATCTGTCTCTAGAAAATTCCTTACATCACATTATTAGTCATGTTAAAATCCCTTTACAAACCACAGGCTAGAGAAGTTTGAGTGTAACTCAAACTCACCATATGTACATATGCACATGTTTTGGCCCAGCCTATGCAATCTCACTCAGACGAGATATGTATAACTTCAAAAATAGGAGTAATCTGAAAATCTGCATACACTCTGCAGTCTCTCACACCATCCCTACCATTTTTCAGTCAAGGCTGTTCGACTGAATAGCAGAATAAGTTGATGTAAAGGATCAACTCTTTTAAGGCTTTCATCTTCTTCCGGTGGTTCCTCCCCAGGTTTCTTTAGGGAAAAAAAGATTTTAAAAGTATATTCAATTATCTGTAGTGAAAAATGTTTTACTCTGTGCAATTTATTAGACATTAAATACATACATATGTAGTTTGGATTTGGACAACCAGGAGGAAACAGGTTCCAAGCAAATTATGAAAAGTCTAAATCTGACTGTGTTTATGACCATGAAGACTTACAAAGATTATATTTGCAAAGCTTTGGATTTCCTCTCCTCATAACAATTAACCCTCTTCCCTAGATTCTGAAAATAACTTCAATCTTTTACTCCTGTTATCCAGAACGAATGGTATACCAGATGCTATCACTTGCTATTATATTTTCTGTTCCTCTCTATGTTAACAAGATTCATCAGCTAAAAATTAGAATCCCTGTTCCAAAACTTATGCCAGGTATGTTTGCTGGGGAACTCTGCCAGGCTTTGAGGGAGAAGAAATCCAAACTTGAAGCTCATTAATATTTTTAGAGAGAAGGAGCCATATCTACCAACAACAGTAAAGTTGGCAGGATGTACAATTTTAGATGACACATCAATAACATATTAAAGATATATATCATTCAATTTATATATATATATGTGTATATATATATATATACACACACACACAAATAGTTTTTTTCATGTGGTTATTTTGCTTTCAGGTTTGTTTAGACACAGCTCTAGTTAGTTCACTCTAGAAGAAAAATGTCGTCCTAAATACTACAATGGTAACCACCGAAGCAGTGTTTTGAAAATAATTTATACAAAATCTGTCCTCTGACTTGTCTTTTACCATAAGACATTCCAGAAACTAAGTTTTGCATATCAAGTTATTAACAAAATTGCTTCACACAGATGTATGCTTCTACAAAGCATCTGGTAAAGAAAACTGATTGCATAAATTATGGCCACTCTTCTTCCTTGTTTTCACCTAGTAGTATACACTAAAATACAGATAGAAACAATTCCATGCATTGATAAAGCTGTACAAGTAAGAAATTATTATAATATCACATATTATCAGTTAGCAATAAGGAAGAGTTGGCCACATGACAGATATAAGGAAAATGGATTTTTTGCCTATTAAGGAAAAAAACTGTGTGTGCTAGTGTTAAATACATTCCTGCGGGAATGCTTATAGATATCTATGTGTACTACACTGCATATGCACCTGTGAAGTCCACCTTTTCCACTCAGCTGTACCAAAAATGACTGGTCATAGCTGAGAATTTACTTTAGTTGACATATATGCACAATTATCATTTTACACGCTAGTCTATGATGGCCATGCAAGGTTTATTTCACATTTTGCAATATATGACACTATTTTCAGTATCAATAACAAGATCTGAACAATGCAAATTATAACTCTAGTTATGTCTCACCATTATGGATGTCTTCCCCTGCTCTTTATTTCAATCTCATTTAGGATGCTGACCTTTCTCTTTAATTAAATGGTAGCATTCTATACTTGGCAATGTTATCAACCAGAATACCTCTCTAATGTTACCAAAACTGATGAAGCAAAAGGGCAGAAGTTGTATTAACGTTTAATACAAGTTATTAGTTTTCATAGATTTAATTCAAATTAAGTGGAGGATCAAATTCACCAATGATTGAGTTAAACAGAATTCATTATTAAGCACAGCATAAACACTAGAACCAAATGATTTTCTGACATTTCTGGTAAAGAAGTATTTTTCATTTCAATGTTTTGAGACAGTTACCCTATAGTTATCTGAGGGTAAAATAAAGAGCTTTAACTGAACCTAACATAAGAGGATAAAACAAATAAGTTGGGTATGTTTTAGTTGCCATTTCTAAGTGCTGAAAATTGAAATATTTAAATTTTATACAATCTAATTATTAAACACCCATTAAACATTTTTCTTATAA